TTCCCCGTTACAATCTGCACCAAGACTAATAATAATGAAACTAGTCATGTCTGTGTTTTATGTCTAAGTGGTAGTTTTAATGTCTGAAAGAGCTTTACATTTTAGTTTGAATAAATGTTGGTTATCAATGCTTTACTATGTTTGTTCATAATTTTTAGGCAACATTTTTCAACTCGTACGTTTAATTTTTTTTCACCCACTTGAAATTTAGACTATATGGCTAATCTACCGTTACCTAGTTTTAGCTCCTGCTATGCTAACTTGTAATAATCTTTTCCATTAGATTATCTCTATTTTACTCCATTCTTTTCACCTCCAACCTGACAAACAGCTTCATTTTTCTCTTCAGTAGTAAAACGAAATATTTATTCACCGCTCAATAATTCAAACCTAACATTCCGTTTCAGGTTTTTAACCCTCATATTTCAGAACTTCACTCAAAAGTAGGAGTGTAAAATTCCAAAGCTCTACTTTAAAATTTTCATAAGAACCAAATTTATAATGAATGGAAAACCTTACGGCAGATTTTTCGTTCTTTCTTAGTCCATTTTCTCTGTCTTCCCTCTGCTCTGGAGAAACACGGCAGCAGAAGTTGCTCAGTGTTATTTTATATCCTTACTTGTTAAACCTGACTTAAGGTTGGCTTTTAAACAGCAAAGACTTTACTGCAGTCCAACAACATCATAAATTCAGCACCTGTTTGTCGATTAATAATCTGCAGCCACATATAAAAAGGAGTGATGTCTTATGTGAGGCTGAATCCATTTATATCACTTTACTTCTCTCAGCGCTCTGCTGCTTCTGTCCTGCTCTGGCCTGTGGTTGTGACGAGGCAGCGTGAAAAGGTTGAATCTGTGTGTGTGTGTTGGTGGTCGGTGTTTGACAAAGACCTCACAGCCTGCAGGAGCGTCAAGTTAACACACAGGTAATAATGAGACACCAGCAGGAAACGGAAATGTTGTTTTCATTAGAACAAAACTGAGAGACAAGTCAACGTTTGAACTGAGATTTTGGCACAAATGTCACATAATCCTTTCTTTTGTGCAGAGTAAAAACTTTTTTCTCAGTAAATACAAGAATAAAAAGAAATAAATTAAATCTAGGGTTAGCAAACACTTTTTTATACTTAACAAAACGAAAATAAACAAAACAATTTAAAACTTGATATCAAAATAATCTAACTTTAATCTCACTTTCTTCTGACCCTAAGAACTGACCTTTAATATATTGTCCCGGGGCAGTGGGTGGACTTTCTACTGACCCTAAGAACTGACCTTTAATATATTGTCCCGGGGCAGTGGGTGGAGTAAAGGGGTGCAGGGCACCATCATGTACACTATCTACTTGCTCTAAGGCAGTGATTCTCAAAGTGGGGGACGGGGGCCCCCAGGGGGCGTTAGAGTAAATTCTATATGTTGGAAATAAAAAACGTTTGTTGTTTTTGGTTCCTTCAACCCAGTAAGTGTTTAAAATATATACGCAGATCAATTGTATCGAATATTGATGAATTTTCTTCAGTACTTCATGAATGCTCCATTAAACAGTACACAAAATGTATTTTAAATTTACATTTTATCAATTTCTGGTCTTTTCTGCAGCCTCTCAGTCCAGACTGAGGTGGAAATGATGGAGAGGGGAAGCTACGACAAGTTCACCGTATTGCGGAGAGTAGTAATAAAAATGTGCTAATTGCCTTTCAAAATAAAATAGTTTTAACCATCGCCATCTCAAAAAAATAGCAAGAACTCGTATTGTGAATTTAGACGGATAATAATTATCAAAATTTGTTTGTATTTTCTATTAACTATATATTATATATATAATGTATTTATATCTTTTTTATATATTTATATTTTTGTCAACCTGGACTAAGTGGCTCCATTTTGGTTAACTCTCGGTTCAGATAGGCTATTTTGACTGAAATTGGTCTGAAACTTTTACTGGTTTTGATGAATTCTTAACCTAAAAATAGGGCTTACGTTTGTCTTTGATGTGGCTTGCAACTTTCTAGAAATGCTCATACCAAAATTGGGAGAGACTTTACAGGAAAAAAAGGAATTTAAAAAATAATTTTATTTTGAAACACAATAACGGAAGTTGTTTCATTTAATCTAGGAAAAATTTACGGACTTTATGGCGAGGCAGTCGGAGAGCGGTCCGACTATCGGTAACTACAGCCATACTCTCTGCTGCGCTGTTGGGCTCTCTTTCTCTCCAGTGTTCTGGATATTTTTCCATTTTTTATCTGTGGACTAATCCATTGACAAATGTGTGTGACTCTGACCTGACTCCTGGGGATTCCTTCTTTACCTGTGGCGCCAGTGAGTGAGTTGTCAATACTCGGTATCCGCTCGTCTGCGCAGTCGTGTTGTGATGCTAACGAGCTAAGCTAACTGGAACGAACCGCTGCACAGAAGCCGATAATTAGCACCAGGGAGCGGAGAGACACCAGTCTGACTGCTGGCTGCCGGTTTTATGTCGTTACCACAAACTCCCCTCAACCTCCAGACCCTACGCACCAGTCCGGGGACCAGATAAGGAGTCCGGTGTTCGGAGTAAGGTGAGTGTCATCAGTGCACCGTTAACCTACTTTCACATGTTAGCCTGTAGCAGCTGAATAACACAGGCTCGGGCTATAACCTGGATTTACTCACATTCCACCACATATTCACAGTCTGTGCTGAGACGCTTAGGTTAGGCCAGTGTAAGTCCTGTTTTTTAAAAAATGTTTCTCTCACCAGTGTAATTCCTGTTTTTTAAAAAATGTTTCTCTCACTAAAGTGAGCGACATGACTATAATATACTATCTTTCACGTCTCCCCATGAGTTAGTACATATTGTTATATTAAAATCGCCCAAATTGATGGTAAATAGTATCATACATTAGTGAGTTTTCCTTCCATTCAGTCCCAGCCAGCAGCTTATAGGACATAGACCTCAGTTGATGTGATTTGAATCTCTAATTCCGGTGGGAGGTTCATGGAAGACCAACACAAATTCCAGCAGTTCACAGTAAAACAATTCCTACAAAATCAGCACATCACAAGAAAAAATGCTAAAAAAAATGATACACAAAATCCCTAACACCAATATTAGAAAGAATTGAAAGCTTTTAACTGACATTTTTAATCAAAGAGTCGGATACTATTCATCTTATTCCCATTAATACTGTTGGAGGTCACAGTGAAGCAGGAGCCAATCCCAGTGGTCACTAAGTGAAGACGTTGTTCCAACCGAATAGTTGCCTTAATAGTTGCCCGGTCCATTGCAGTGTTGCATATAAAATATGAAATGGTTTTAATCAACCAGTTTCTTTCATAACTGAGTTGTTTTAACGTTGTCTTACTTTATGAAAGTTGTAAGGAGTCACTCTAAGAATTTCTTTTGATAGAAGCCGCTGTGTTACATTTTGACTTGTCAAAGTGAGCGACGTACAGTAGGTGAAGTGCGTTGTTACAACACATGTGAGACAGCCGAAGCTACTCTGGGTCGACTTGATGTGGAGTGTTGAAAACGAGATGATCCTCTGGAATGAAGGCGTTCTGACTGTTGCTCCACTCACCCCGTCTTTCTGCTCTTACTCCTGCAGGAAGCCTCGTCACATGGACACATTATATTTAAACCCACAGGATTACTCATCGCACATGATGGAGCCCTTTTCTGGATAAAACCATGCATCCTGTCAAAACGGACCCAGTTTGCTGCTGCAGAGATTGCTCGTCCTTACAAGTGGATTTATTTGTCACTTTTTAAGCACCATCAGTTGGAATTTGATGTGGAACGTTATCTCTTTTTTCATTGTGCTTCCAGTGAAATATTGACTGATGAGTGTATGTGGCTTGGATATGCTGACATACAAGTAAAACTTAACGTGAATCTGCAGAGCGAGCAAAGTGAGTCCGAGGACGGCAGAGCAGGACGGGATAGGTGGATAGGTGTACGGAAAAAATCCCCCTTCAAGCAGAACCATGGCCTCTGTTTGGAAAAGACTGCAGCGTGTGGGGAAGCATGCTTCCAAATTCCAGTTTGTGGCTTCATATCAGGAGCTGATGGTGGAGTGCACGAAGAAATGGTGAGTCCCGCTTCTTTTTTTGGGGGGTGAAGAGGGGATATAACCTGCAACCACAACGTTGTCATTTCAGCGCCATGAAAACTGTGTGTCTCTGTCTGTGTTGGAATGCTGTGCTGGTTCCGAGTGGCCATAATTCACACACACACACACACACACATGCATTCACACACAGTCTTCTTAAAATGCAGGCACGTTTGTGTGCTGGGAGGGGCTCAGCTGCCTTGTAAAATTACAGTTTTTTTTTTCTTCCTTCTCTTGTGTTAGATTTGTTTGGTTTGAGTCTTGAGTAAAGAGGCTGACGGGCAGAGAGGTTTCCCTTCAAGACGACGGGTTTGAAAAAAAAAAAA